GACACTTGTTCGTCAGATCACGGAACTTTGACCCATCGCAATCTCACAAATAATTCTTGCGTGATGATTTCCCTACAAGAACCATATAATTATCAGAAAATTGCAATATAAAACAGAAATAATTAAAATACACCAAAAATAAATACGTCATAGTCTGTTGGGTCCAGGAATTTAAAGTATTGGAACGTAAATTTCACTTGGTTGATATGTAACGTAATGTTGGCCTTTGGCCATTTGGTCAAGATTTACCATTGGCCGCTTAGCCAGTTTGACCGACCAAAATGAAAAATCTTAACCGCAGCCAATGATACCTCCATTTGTAAATGGATGGTGGTCTATGAAATAAATTTGGTAAATTAAAAAATCCATAAAAAACTAAATATCAAGCAAGTTGGATTCTCTTACCTATTGCACTAGAAATCTTTATTGGTTTGGTCTATTAAGTATATTGAAACCATTATTGGGAAGACCAAAGAAATATTGCTTGCTGCAACAGCTCGTCCACGTGGGTTGAGCACATATCGAGTATAAATACATTATCATTTTGATATTCAAATTTATAAGATGACTCGGATTCAAGGAATTTTCTCACTGATATGTTTCAATTGATCTCAAAGGCAAGCTACAATCCATACGAGTTAACAACCTTATATGTAGCACAACTACTATATTCTTCCAGACGCTTCTCTGGTAATCTTATATTCTGCATTCTTACCAGGCTTGGAAAATTTTGTTATTTTCCGAAATATTCTGAAGAGTAAATAAAGCAAAATTTAAAAAGCCACCGATAAATGATGAAATGATGTCCGATACTGAATTTTTAAATTATGAAGCCAAAGGTGAGTTGTTTCTAAACAGCTTAAAATTTGCAAAATATTTAGTCATAGATTTCAAAGAGACAGATAAGAACCGAAAACAATATGTGAAATTTATGATAATCAACCTATTATCTTGGATATTGTTGATATCGTAAAGAAGATTATGGATTCTATATAAGAAGCTGATGAATTATAGTCACAACTACATAAGTATAACTGGTATAGTACCTGGTCCATAGGACTTTTTATAATACCAACAATCAAGTCTGTTTAGAAAAACAAAACGAATACAAAATTAATCACAGAAATGGTTGAAAACAGTATAGAAAAATTTGGAAACTAGAATCAAGGAATAAACAAAATAACGAAGGATTCCGTTCACAATTAAAATATTTAAAGGAAAAGGATAAAGAACGAGAAGAAGAATCCAAAGATTACAGTAAATCTTGAATTGACTTATATTATAAAGATACTATTATAGTTTAACAATTACGTACATCAATAAGAATGACATAATTAAACACCTTAGAAGGATTGCAATGATATAGTAATTTGTCACACCTCGATCGTAATAAAACTCAAATCAATAGTATACCAACCTTTAACTAACTCCTTAAT